AACTGGAAGTGGCGCTGTAGCTCAAGTGGTAGAGCGCTAGCCTTGAGCTGAAGAGCTGAGGGACAGCGCCCAGGCCCAGAGTTCAAGCCCCACGGCCGACAAAAAAAAAAAAAAAAGAGTCTCATGGTTTCTCCTGCCTGAGGTGGATTGGAATTGCGATCCTCAGATCTTAGCCTCCAGAGTTGCTAGGATTACAGGCATGAGCCACTGGCACCCAGTTTACCTGTTGTATTATTGTGGAGCTTGAACTTGGCCTGGGCGCTGTCCCTGAGCTTTTCAGCTCAAGGCTAGTGCTCTACCACTTTGAGCCATCCAGTTTTCTGGTGATTCATTGGAGAAAAGCGTCTCAAGGGGACTTTTCTGAACTGTCTGGTTTCAAACCCATAATCCTCAGATCTCAGCCTCCTGAATAGCTAGGACCACAGGTGTGAACCGCCAGTGCCCAGCTTTCTTATTTAAGACAAATTCTCAGTCATCTTGCCTCAGACTCCCAGTGATGGTGGGATCACAGGCATGCACTACCCTGCCCATTCCACAGAGCAACTGTTAATAAGGCTACCTCTGAAGGTTATTCACACATCCCTTGGAAGTTTTTGTCCCTTTCCCTATCCTGCCCCCTATACTGAGGACCAAACCTAGGGCCTCCTGGGCCTGCTAGAGGTGTGCTCTATCTTGAGATACATCTCTAGCTCCCTGCACCTATTTCAAATGGATGGGAAATTTGCCAGTGCAATCTACCCCCAATCAGAGTTACCTAGACCTGTTTTTCCTCTTCCTAGCCTTTACCACTTTATCCAAATCATGTTTGTTTGTTGTCTGTTTGCCATGGTCCAGGCTGTGTCTCTGGGGGCCTAATAATCATACAGGGATTCTTGTTTGGTTGTGTTTATGGTTTGGGGGGTTTGTTTGTTTGTTTTTGAAGTGGCTCATGCTTGTAAATCCTAGCTAACCAGCTGAGATCTGAGGATCGTGCTTTGAAGTCAGCCAGGGCATAAAAGTCCGTAAGACTCTTCTCCAACCAGCAAAAAGCCAGAAGCAGATGTGTGGTTCAACTGAGTGAAGAAAATTAAGCCAGAAGTTGAGACCTTGAGGTCAAAGAAAGCACTGGCACAAACAAGGGGGGGAAGGAGAGGGGGGGAAATCCCCCAGCTGGCCGCATCTTCCAGAATGCCGGGATTTCAGGCATGCACCACCAGGCTCAGCACTTTCTTTTAGGCACGTATGCACGGACGGGCTGTTGAACACACACTTTGTCCTTGCACACACTTAGCTTATGCACTGTATCTCGGAACTACACCCAAGCCCACCCAGTATTTTATAGTCGCGCTGATGGACGTGTCTTTGAGGGGAGGGGGCCGATGCCCCCGCTCTGGGGTCGGTCCTCCAGGCTCAGATCCGGTCAGAGGCCTGGGGGCCAACCAGCAGTCCCCACCTCCCCATCCCGGCCGCGGGGGCGGCGCCCAGCGACCCAGCAGCCGCCCTGGCAGGACCAGACCTGGCAGTCGCCGTGCCCGGGGCCTGGCACCGGGAGGGGAAGCTGGCAGGCGGGCGCCGCCCTTCCTGGAGGGGGCTGGGGAGGGCCGCGTCCGCAGCCACGCTCGGGCTGCAGCCGGCCTCCGCCCGGGTCAATCACACGGACCGGGTGTGGGCGCCAGCCTGCGGAGAGGCTAGGGGGTGGGTTCCCGGGGGCCCCCCGGAGCTCGCAGCCCGCCCAGGCCAGGGGCTTTCCGGGCCCAGACAGCCGCCCGCCCGGGAAAATCCCGGCCCCCTTCCCGGCGCCGAGGCCCTGCCCGGCAGAGCTAGGGTGGGTGGGGGGAGGGGGAGGGGAGGGGAGGAGATTCCCGGAATCTGCCCAGAGACCGCCGTGACGTCACTGAGCAGAATCGGCCCATATATGGACATCGCTTCCGCTGCGTCAGCGGGGAAAGCCCCGTGGCGGGCGGGGAGACTGGGCGGGGCCGCGCAGGCGCACTGCGCATCCTGCGCTGGGCAGCTTGTCACCGAGTCCTGCTGGACCGGCCACCGTCACCGCCGCCGCCTCTGGAGCTCGGGAACGCGGTGGAGGGTGGCAGGCTTGGGCTGGATCTTACAATGCCTGGACGGGGCTGACGAAGGGCCCCCAAACAAGACCCACAAAAGCATGAACCCCACTCCGGTCCCCCCTCCCTCCCAGCTTGGAAAAAATGACCACAAAAATTAATAAAGAACCTTTTTTTTTTTTACTTAAATAGATTCAATAAAAAGAACAACAAACGCACGCATACACACCGTCACATCTTAAAATAGACTCTTGGAGAGAGCAAGTTCGTGTTTCTTTTCCACAGTACGGTGCAGGGGCAGGTGGGGGGGATGGAGAGGAGGGCAGGGGGCGGGGGTCCCCCTCCCTAGGTGTCCCCGCGGGCTTGAGTACCAGGCAGCGGGGCCAGCTCCGCCGCGATCGCCCTCCTCCTCCTCCTCTTCTTCCCCGTTAAATACACAAATATATTATATTCAATATGAATTGAGTCTGTTTCCAACAGAAAAAAAAATTACAAAAAATAAAACAAACGTGGAAGGGTTGGGGGTTGTTGTAAACGTCGAGGTGGAAGGAGTGGGCGCAGTATGGGCAGTGTGGCCCGGGTCCAGTGTGGTTGGCGACGCCCCCGGGGTCCCAGGGCCGGGGCCACGTCCTCGCCCCACGTCCCCGGGGCGCGCGGCCGTCCAGGCCGGGGAAGGGCGGGGGGGGGCGCACGCTCAGAAGGCGTGTCCCTTGACCCCCAGCAGCAGCTGGCAGCCGTTGCTGACGTGGGTCATGACCTTCTGCTTGAGCTGGGCCACTTGCTCCCGCAGGACGCCGGCGGTACTCGACAGCCCCGCGTTCTCCGCCTTGAGGGTCTTCACCTTGTCCTCCAGGCGCGCGATGCGCTCCAGCTTCCGCTTCCGGCACTTGGTGGCCGCCAGCCGGTTCCGCAGCCGCTTGCGCTCCACTTTGATGCGCTCCTGGTCTTCCATGTTGATGGGGGACACGGGCGGCGTGGCGTCGCGGCTGCGGGCCTCGGGCACGGTCTGAGGTTCCTCCTTGAAGGCCGAGGCGCCGCGGCCCAAGCCCAGCTGCGCGGGGTGGCCGCCGGCGAAGGGCGGAGCGTGCGGGAGGTAGCTGATGGTGGCCGTCGGGTAGGAGCTCCCGGTCCCGACGGCGGCGGCCCCGGAGGGGGCCGAAGCCGGAGGGTAGCTGCTGAGGTTGGTGTAGACGGGAGGCGGCTCCGGGCCGCCGGCGTAGACGCCCCCGGGGCCGGCGGGGGGAGCCCCGCTGGCGCCCAGCGACACGTTGGGGGGCGTCACGTGGTTCATCTTGTGCAGATCGTCCAGGGCTTTGACGAAGCC